TAGAGACATCTAGACATTTCACCCCCTTGTGTTGGGCACTATAGCCAAGAAAAACACATTGTTTGGATCTGAACATGAGTTTGCGAGAATTGTATGGACGTAGATTGGGCCAACATGCACACCCAAAGACACGAAGAGATGTATAGTTGGGTTTAACATGAAGTAGACGTTCGGTTGGTGTTTCATTGTTTATAACACGACTAGGAAGCATGTTGATGATGTGAACAACAGTCAAGAATGCTTCATCCCAGAATTTTAGGGGCATGGAAGCACCTGCTAGAAGAGCTAGACCAACTTCAACTATGTGCCTATGTTTGCGTTCAGTAGACCCGTTTTGTTTGTGAGCGTGGGGGCAAGAGACATGATGTGATATGCCGAGAGTTTGGAAAAAAAGAGTTTAATTTCTCGTATCCCCCCCACCCCCTCCCAGTCTGATTGGACAGCAATAATTTTGCTATCGAACTTGCGTTCAACAAGAGCTTAGAAATTTTGAAGGACTTGAAAGACCTCGAATCTCTTTTTAAGAAGATATATCCAAGAGAACTTGTTGTAGTCATCAATAAAACTGACGTAGTAAGTATGTCTACCAACAGAACTAGGGGCAGGTCCCCAAACATCAGAGAAAATTAATTGCAATGGTTTGGTAGAAATACTTGTAGAGATAGGATAAGGTAATTGATGACATTTTTCCCTCTGGCAGGAATCACAAACGGTTTCAATATTGCGCTCACCAACAAACGGAAGCTTATTTTTCCTAAGCAAACGTTCAACAAGAGAAAAGGATGCATGCCTAAACGATCGTGCCAACGTGTTGAAGAAAGCTTTACAACACCATAGGCTTGTTTATTGAATATTCTAAGCTCCATAATCAACGGGTAAAGACCTTGAATACATCTACCTCGATATAGTACCTTCTTCGTGGCCTGATCCTTGATCAAAAAGAAGAAATGATGAAATTCAATAAAGACATGATTGTCAATGGTAATGTGTTGAACGGATAGAAGATTTTTGTTGGCACTAGGGACATGCAAAAAAATTCGAAGGTGAATTTTATGAGAGTGGGTACGTATAACCGAATGACCAACGTGACTTATGTTCATACCTGCATCACTGGTTGTGTGAATATGATCCTTCCCATGGTACTTTTCACGTAGGGTCACCTTCTCGAGCTCCCCTGTGAGATGATTTGTTGCACGCTGTCGAGATACCAGTTAATATCAACGCCATATGACCCATCGGCGGCAGCAACAATCTTGTCATCTTCATTAGGGGAGGCTTCGTCTTCATCAAAATGATACCAGCAATCCTTGGCGGTGTGGCCAGGCTTGCCGCAGATCTGGCAGCGCACTGCATCGGGTCGTGATCTGCCCGAGCTGCCATCGCTGCTGCCACCCCCACCACGGTGGCCCCTATTGCTAGTGAAGTTGGGGGCGTCCGCCGCGGGAGCCAGAGTTGCTGGAGGCGCCACCGCCTTGCTTGCCCTTGTGTCAAGGGGGACCGCGATGCCAAGGAGAGAACCCGCTGCGCCCGCGAGTGGCCGAGGACTTGAAGCCACCGCCGGTGCTATGAAACTGGGCGACACGCTGATCAAAACTACTCAGCATGACGTACAGCCCGTCGAGGGAGACCGGTGTGATGCGGGCGTCGAGGGCGGAGACGAGGGGCTGGTAGTCCATGTCCAGCCCATGCAGCAGGTAGGAGTGAGCTCATCATCCTGGATGGGCTTGCCGGTTGCAGCGAGTTCATCAGCAAGACCACACATGTGAGCATAGTATGCAGCAACCGATTGGTTGCCCTTCTATGCGTTGATCAAGGCAGTGTGAATGTTGTTTACACAACTTAGAGATTGAGAGGAAAACATGCCTGCGAGAAGCACCCAGAGGGTGTGCGCAGTGGTGACCGCGGTCACCGCGATGAGCACTTCTTTGGAGAGGTTGTTGAGGAGGTAGCCGAGCACATGCTGATCCTCCCTCACCCAGATGGGATGGAGAGGGTTGGGCTCGGACGTTTCCTTGTCGTCCTTGTTCTTGGTGATGAGGAGGCGGGTGGGTTCCGGCATAGTCCCATCAACGTAGCCGAAGAGCCCGGCTCCCCTCAGCTGCGGCGTAACTTGCGTTTGCCACAAGACGTAGTTCATTCGGGAGAGCTTCTCCGTGACTTGGCCGCTGAGGTTGGATTGGGTGGCACTGGAGGAAGATATGGCTTGGCACTATGGAGATTGATGGAAGCTAGGGTTTGGAAGAGGAGTCTCTGATTACCATGTGCGTTAGGCGAAAGCGTCTTACCTCATCGTGAGGGGCGCTGTTACGTGTTTATAGACCAGGGGCGCACCTCCCTGGGATAGCGCATACAGTTGGAGATTACAATCTTGAGAGAGAAGAAAGGATAGAGATAAGTACTATGGTTACAAGATGAATATCCTCTCTAACTACCTGATACAATGCACAAGTAATGTAACTCCTAGGCTGTCACGCTATCTATGTTTAACACAGTCGTCGTCGAACTTGAGCATGTCGGCCTGCGTCTTCTCGAACCACGGCCTCTTCCTTGGTGACACGGTGTTGAGATCCACCTTCATGATCTCCACCCCGGTCGTCATGCTCACAAGAGACACTTCTTTCGCCTTGGTCTTGGCGTTGGTGGCCTCGATCTCTAGCATCTTGGCTTTCTCCTCCGCGTACATCTCAAGCCTCCTCCTTTGGATCTCCATGAAGGAGTTCATTTGCTCTTCTTTGTAACGCCGACACTCCTCCTCCCTTGAGTCCTTCTTGCTCATCATGCCCTCCAAGCTTGAGATCAAGGCGTTCGACGCTGCATCCCGCTTGTCCTCCTTCTTGGAGTTGGTCTCCCCCGCAGCCGTACCTTCTTGCCGTTCCCAACCTCCTCCACGGCTTGCTTCCCCTCACGCGACTCGAGGGTGGCATATTGCGCCTTGAACTTCTCCTCGTATTTGATGACCCTAAAAGCAATGGGAGAGGTTGAAGCACTTGCCATTGTCTTGGACCTTGAATGCCTCCAAAGCTTGAAATGCCTACCATTGTATATCATGCAAGCATATTGGAAAATGGTATGCAAATGAACACACAAGCATAAACAGAATGACACAAAAAGAGGGCGGCTTGCAGCAACGGGCCGCCTGCGCTAGTGGCGGCGGGGCCCGCGCCTCGGCCAGCGAGCAGCAGCAGCTGTCGGCCAGCAGTGTCGGCCAGGTGAGGCCGCCTCAGGCAGTGGCGGCGAGGCCCACTGGCAGGGCCCGCGCGCAGCAGGGCCTGTCGGCCAGCCAGCGACCGCGCCAGGGCTGGCCGCCTCGCCCGGTGGCGGCAGGGTCCACCTGGCCCGCCCCGTTCCTTCGTGGCGCGGTGAGTAGCTGGGATTCCGTTCGCCTCGGTGGCCGCCTCCTGCGATGGCGGCAGGGCCCGCCGCCTCCTGGCGTGGCGGCAGGTGCCACGTGTCGCCTGCTGCACATGCCGCCACTATTGAGGGGGTCCTTTTTGACAAAAAATTTCGCAGGTAGTCCTTTTTGGCAATAACATTCGACAGGGGGTCCTTTTGGACAAAAAATCCCATTTTTCTACGCCTGGGCAGCAGCCTGGTCCTAACCGGGAGACAAAAATAGTACGGCCCACTGATTCAATATTTTTTAAAGGCTAAGGCCTTCTTTAGTGTAGAGGAATCTTGTTGGATTTTATAGGATAGGATTTCTATAGGAAAAATTCCTTTAGAGCCCTTTGGTTTGTAGGAATGTAATCCTATTCCTATGAAGAAATTCTTTCTATCATTCACATTTCATAGGAAAATAAACATTAGCCTAGGCTCGATGAAAAAAAAATCCTATAATGTGAATCAAAGGGCATCTCCTTTCCCACTCCCACTCATGGGATTTGAGATACACGCCATCTCATGTTTTATAATTTCTCTATTCCTATGATTTTCCTATCCTATGAACTAAAGGAGACCTAAGCAGGCAACTGCAGGCAAGGATCAACTCAAACACTTCAAGTCCAGCCTTGCCTGACCAGGCACAAATCAACGACAACTCAGGCCCAGGCCAAGCGCGTTTTTCTCGAAGCACAAAGCCAGGTCACCAACCAAACTAGCTCTAAATGTGTCACGCATTGACTGGGTCGCGCTAAGCTCATGTCAAGCATACCAATTTCCTAATTACTTTTGCTTGTATAATAAATGGTGTTACTTCATGCGCGCCATGACATAATCATTGGTATGTACTCCCTCCGTTTCTAAATATAAGTCTTTTTAGAGATTTCACTAAGGGGCTACGTACGAAGCAAAATGAATGAATCTACACTCTATAATATGTCTATATACATTCGCATGTAGTTCATAATGAAATCTCTAAAAAGACTTATATTTAGGAACAGAGGGAGTACAACTTTGACAAAACATATGCTGCTATGCAACCATTCATGGATCCTCTACCCCGCAAAAGAAAAAAAAGAACCATTTATGGATCCTCGTTGTCTTGTGGAAGTATTCCGAAGAAAGTGACGTTTTTAGACATGTCTTGCGTCAAAATTTGGAACCATTAACCAGAAATATTATTTCAAATGTTTGCACTTGAGATTTATAAATCATATGCATGGATTCGTCTTGAGAAGTATTTCTAGAATATTGTTATATGCTACATTCTGGGCAGAGAGATGGAAAGAATGAGAGAGGTAGGAGACGGCCGCCCTCAAGAGATAAGGCAGGGGAACGAGTGGCTCCGAAAGAAGCGGTGCGTGGTCCCCACCAAAACACGTGGCGTCTAGGCGACGTTTCAGAAATCATCCGGGTGATTTCAAGATTTTCCAAATAAATCTTCAGGTGACTGAAAATAGTAAAAGTGATATTTTATAGTCTATTTAGGCATGTGACGTAGAAATCATATTTAGACAACTAATCTCGGCAACAAAATCCACAAGTTTTACAAGTAGTGTTTTGCAATGAAATCCATCCAAGACCAGCTTGATCAGGAGCGAATCGTGGCGTTCTTTTTTTCTCTAGAAGGGCTTGGAGGGGAGATTGTGGTTGGCGAGGAAGTGCTTGAAGAGCTCCAGCGCCTGCTCGGGCAGCGACGTTGGCACCATGTGCCCGGCTCCTCTCACCGTGACAAATGTCAGGCCATCATACACCACACTCCATCCGCCAACCTGCAACCAACAAACGCATCAGAACAAGAACGTCCTCACGATGTAACGTGTGAGATAGGGTCACAAAGATTGATAGTGTCACAACCAATTAGGGGCTACTTGCCGATGGGATTCTCCTGCTATTTTGTTCAGTTATCCAGTTAATCAAAACAGTAGTGGTACCTGCTTGTGAGTGAACCATGGCAACCAGTCCTCCTTGATGGGCAGGTCGAGCTTCTTCAGCGTGTACCTCGTCGACGTCGTAGGGATCCTTGCATCCGTGTCGCCGCTGAAAATCCATATGCGAAGCCCTTCCTCCGCGAGCTTCTTGACGATGGGGACGACCGTCATGTCGGAATCCTTCCACACCGCGTTGATGCTATTGCTGAAAAGAAACACCACAGAAGCAAAACAGTATAAATTCAGCTATGAAAAGGTACACACAGAAACACAATCCCGAGCCCAACAAGGAAACTCAGCTAGGTGAGCTCACCGGCAGAGAACGTAGGGATACGGCAGTCCTGTGGTGTTGGCATGCAGAGCCCTCTGCACATCCGCACGGTTCAGATACTCGGTGGCGTACGTCTGCGTGCATGGATCGAAGCCCATCGGCATCTTGAGGAGATCAAACTGTGTGCATGAAAAATCAATCACACTGTTTGATCAGAACACACATACAGACCAAGGGGGAAAATAAGTGGCTGAAACTTTTGAAGCTGAAGGGTGCTTACACGGCCGTTGGTCTGCCCGATGTTCGACGAGGCTGACGCGTTCAAAGCCGGGTACCCGAGGTCGCAGTAGGGGGTGTAGAGGCTGTAGACGTCTATGAGTTTGTAGAGAAGAAAGAACTCGCTCAGTGCCGCGTCGCACTCCGGAGACAGGATCTCAATGCTGAAGTCGCAGGACTTGAGGAAGGCGCTGTAGAGCGTGTCGGAGATGATGGCGTGGTGCCACGCCGAGTCCACGATCCCCTGCAAGTCTGTGTCCCCGTCCACGTACGCGTTCCCGATCTAGAATCGGAAGAAGAAAAAACATGATCAATAAGTACTAGTGAAATTTTTAGAGAGTGAACTGGATATCAGCGTATGTACCAGGATGCCTTTGAAGTTTATGTAGTTTTCTTTGGAGGCCTTCTTGTTCTCCTCCACGATGACATTCGCTAACTGTGGAATGTAGTGTCCTAGTGATCCAGTGGCAAGAGAACTAGAATAAGCAAAATTCAGATCATGAGTACAGTAGTACAATCTATGGATAAGTTGGCAGACCTGCATAGCTCTCTCCAGCTATGTAGAACTCTTTCATTTTGTGCTGGGGGAACCTTTGAAACCACCTGACGAGGAAAGCGTATGAACCGTGTGCTGCAAAGGACGAATGAAATGTCATGTTATCTTGGGAAGAAATCCCTTCATGTTTGGATAGAAGAGGAAACACATATATTTCTTGCAAACCCGTGGAATTGTCTCCCGGTGGATCTATTTCGAAAGACGTGTTCGTGTACGAAAATCCAACACCCGCTGGAGAGTCCAGGAACAGCAAGTTGGCAGCTGAAAGTTCACCAGACAGTAAGCTATGCATGCTTCCATTGGCATGAAAATTGTAAGTCTAATATGTTAGTCTTCGTTTGCACTTGCCTTGGTTCCAGGCATACGGATTGAGCTCGAGCTCAGGCACATCTTTCTTCACAAGAAATGGCCCGAGCTCCTGCGCCTGCCCAAACCCTACAGAAGAACACCCGGGTCCTGCAAATTTTGCAAAAAACACACGATGTACAGCTACATTACATGTACATCTTTCACCCACAAAGTTTTCTGAAGCTCCAAGTTAAAATACAGTAAATCAGTTAGCAACCTCCATTTAACCATAGGACCAGTGGCTTCTCGTCAGGCTTCTCCATAGCCTCGAAGAACCAATAGAACAGTGCCTTGCCGAGGCGCTCATCGGTCGTGACGTACCCGGAGTAGTGCTTGAACGCATATGAGTAGCTCGGCGCCCCCGGCAGCGAGGCGACGCGGTCAAGCTCTTGCGCGGCCATTGTGGCTGCGTCAAGGTTTGCTGTTGCACTGTCAGTCCGTGCTGCAGCTGCACAACAGAGTGCCAGTGCTGCAGACACAAGTAGCAAGCAGGGTAACGTGGAAACCTCCATTGTCTAAGGTTTGTTAGCTCGTTTTGGTTGGGATTGTAGAGAAGTTAGGCACTGGAATGAAGCATTTATAGTACAGAGACAGTGTGTGGAGTGCAGAGACAACTGACAAGTAGATCGAGTCCTTGGCCGGCATCAACCTTTTCTTGTTGGCCTGATTCTCCCTCTTGCTCAGAATTACATAATTACTCTTTAACAATATGATTTAGCAATGTTGTTATTCATGAAAGACCAGCAGTAAGAAAGATTAGCCATATATACTTACTTTTACTGATAATTTCAGTTTGGAAAGCAACGAAGGCTGTGAGCATGGGTGTACAATCCCACAACACAGCTTCAGTGCTTGCCTATATTTTTTGGAAAAATAAAACATTGTGGGTAACTGTGGCTTCTCGCCCGTTACTCATGCATCGACAAATGTTTTTGGCTCCGCAAACGTCTCTTACAATCTGGAGTGCTTGTGTATTGTGCACACGGTTTCTAGTTTGCGTGGTCGTGTCCATGCCGGAATCGCGTGTGCTTACATCATCTTTGTTGGCTCATCAAGTGTTTGGTGTGGATTATCGTTGCTATTTTCTCTTTTTTTTTATTGTTTTTTCATCCGTCTAGGCATTGTTTCGATCTTATATGACTTGATCCTTTGTGTGTGTGTGTTAGTGTTGTCTTTATACATCCTAATTCGGAAGAAGCCAAGTCTGTGTGTTCATTATTTTGAATTGCCTTAATGCTACATTATAAAGGAATAAAAAAGTACTCCCTCCGTCCCATAATATAAGAACGTTTTTGACACTAGTGTAGTGTCAAAAACGTTCTTATATTTTGGGACAGAGGGAGTACTATTTGTTGTCCCGGCTATTAGTACGCAGACAAACAAGTACTCCCTCCGTTCTAAAATAGATGACTCAACTTTGTACTAGCTTTAGTACAAAGTTAGTACAAAGTTGGGTCATCTATTTTGGAACGGAGGGAGTATCAGTTTTATTACCATAAGCATCAAAGGAAGCATTGTCCTTTATCCCAAAGTATCATTCGCCGGAAAAGGCTTTGCTGTCTGCATTGAAAACGACACTATATAATACTTCCTCCGTTTTTACCCTTGGACGGCTTTTCAAAACCGATGCTGGACCTTGGACAGGCTTGCGCGTCGTGTATTGGATCACCAGGAAGCATGCCCGTTTTGTGACCAAGAGGAGGAGAGCATCAATCATCTCTTCATCGGTTGTGTGTTCGCGAGGGAAATCTGGACCGGTATATGCCTAGCGATGAACAGACCGGAATGGACACGGTGTTGGAGGCTAGGAGGATTGGTGCACCGACAAGGTTGACACGAGGTTGGGGGCGAGAGACACTCGAGCCTTATTTCTTCTAGGGATGTGGGAGCTATGAAAACATTGGAATGTGGTCGTTTCGATGGTGCTACACCTTCGAGTTCTCTAAGTAGAATCGTCCTTGAGGGTAGGACTTGGAAGAGAGTGGGCCTTTTTAAGGGCGACATCGAGCCACTCTTCACGACCACAGAGAGATGGACGAAAGAGAGGAGTTAAATGTAACCTGTAACTGCCAATGTGGAGGGGCTCTTTACGCCCGTCCTCTTCTTTAATAGTACGCACACTCATGCGTACTTGAGAAAAAAATACTAATAAGGCGCGCTTAACTTTTTTTAGTGTTTCTGAAAACACAGTACAATCGAAGTCGCTCACATATATGAATACGCGAGACATCCAACTTTAACTATAATTTTCATTAACAATATGGTTACCTCATTAATATGAAAACATATAAAATCAAATTATTTTACAAAGTAAATATGGCAATACAAATTATACATGCCCAATTTAATTATTTTTTATATATTAGTGATCAAAATCATTCATTAAAGACCGCGCAAAGTCAAAGGGGCACCTTACATTCTTAGAAAGAGGGAGCAGGTGACATGATCATGTATATAATTGATATGATGTCACTGAGATGGCACAGCGGAATCATTCAACAGACCAGAAATGCTGATCTCAATGTGACGAAGACATAATTATGCTAATAAGTTTGTATTGAGTTCTTTTTACAACTCGATTAATAAGGACTTCGGATAAAATATTCAACTTGCTTAAATACTTATACGTAGTGCCCCTATGGAAATGATGCATATTAAATCATAGAACTGAAAATAATAATGACAAATGCCTGACACCGCCCAAAGCATATTGCTATGCTTATAATAGGTTCATGTTAAGGTCTATCTCATAAATAACTCATCATTTTTAGAGAAGAGGCACGAGACGAGCCTAGCTCTGAATTAATAATGCCACAAACCAGTTAGGAATTAGAAAGTTCAACAAGCAACGGTGGAGTTCAACAAGTAGTGGGTCAGGTCGCCGCCATCAAAACACAGATGACGATTGCAGCCACTCCTTCCAACATGGGCAATGTTACGTTCGCTCATCGCAACACAAATGATGTTTGCAGTTGCCTATTGGACACGAACGACGTTGCAGAAGCACGGAGCAGCAATGGTCATTGTAGCTATTGGGGTGAGTTAGAGCAGTGCAACGTGGTGAGTTAGGGCATCTACAATGCAAGGCTCTTAGCTAGACGCTTAGGGAGAAAAAATAATATTAAAAATAATAAAAAGGCACCTAGAAGCCTCGTCTTCCAATGGGGGCCGCTAATTAGAGGCGCTACATGCAAATCGGCAACAGAGACCAAGGATTGCTCGTGTTCAGTGCGTACTTGAGAAAACACCAAGCGCCCGATGCACTACTTTGCATCTCTCTTGCGCCTGACGCTAGGATTTGGTAGGGAATCACTTACGCAACCACCAATATACCAGGAACTATTTCCTGGCGCCCTCCACTAGCGCCTCGCATTGAAGATGCCCTTACAGGGGGGAGGTATGGCATGCGAGCGATGGCCA